GAACGTGAACCTCTCCCGGACGAAGATCACGAAGATCAGCAAGGTCTCAGCATCGAGGCGAGATTGCGCAAAGAAAGAGCCCACGAACATCGAAGCGGACCAGGCACACCTCCGCCTCTTCTGCTTCTTGACCGCCACGGCCTATCACACCTGAATCTTTTCTTTTTCAGGGCCAGGCGTGCTGGCTGCCCGCACCTGCCGCAGGCTCTCTCCCGACGGAGGAGGCCGTGGCGGAAGCACATCTCTAACATTTCTTCCTGGCTGGTCGATATTTCGCGCAGGAAATCCGTCTCCGAGTACGAGCACCCTCCACACACGGCCTTCGCGGCGGCTATGATTGACTACTGAACGCGACTTATTTCGGTTAGGAATACGGATGTCGTTATTCCAGAGCACGGGAAACTCGACCTTGAGGCCGTCGGTGTAACATCGAAAGAGGCGCAAAACCCTCCGACATTGACGATGATTGTGTAACGCTCTAGCCAGCCGGAAATACGTGGTGGAGGTTTTGTTACCTCGGCGGGGGTTAGGGTGCGTTATATTATTAGTGTTATTTAACCCCTTAATTTCCCTGGAACCTTCCATGCCCTCCCTTGCTATCGGGGCCAAGTTTGCCGCTGACTGGGGGTTTCCGAGCAATAAAACCTACATATTTGCATTGTATACAATGAGAGGAATCCAACGATACCAGAATCGTCGATATCGGTTATGCGAACGTAATATAGGAATTACCCAATTTTATTAGGCTCTCCTTTACGTATCATACACACACATACACATAGAGTATTTATATGTATCTCTTTGTGTCCGTGTGTGTCTCTGTCTATGTAAACATACAAATACCACAGTCTGCAATCAGTGCCAGTAGCGAATATATTGCATACATTACCTGATTTGATTTTTCAATTGTTTTGCATTAATGATAGCACTCTATTTCTCCGCATCGTTCTGTAGCCTCATTTCAAAAGCTCTGAATGTATTAGAAGTATTCAAAACGAAAGAGCAGGCTACCCTTTGAAAATTTTCGTTGTTGAATATTCTACTTTCGTGAAACTCATGTGCAGTAGACATGGTAGCGAAAGGAACATCTACTTTATAATCATAATTATTTCCTCTAAAGAAGGCTAGGGATCCATGTCGATTGTAGTAAATAGTACACAGGTAGATAACGGAAATCATTAACGTAATTAGCAGTATATATATATAGAAATGATAACTGCAATCTTCATTACGTGGTATTGGATACATATTAATGAAAGTACAGTCTTGTATCTGCTTATGATTCTAGTGATTTTATTTGGTGATATAATTAGAGTAATTACATAGTGAGTCGTGACTCCATTATGTTTATGTTATTGTTGTTATCGTTATATATCATGTTATCTCTATATTGTATTATATTACGTTATATTATATTACATTTCATTATAGATGCAGCATACCGTTTTATATTATTTATTATGTGTATGTGCGTGTGTGTGTGTGTGTGTGTGTGTGTGTGTGTGTGTTTGTGCGCGCACACACACACACATATGTAAACCAGAAACGTCCCTTTCTCGTCCCTCTCTTCACGAGCGCAAAAGGTCCAACCTATACAATCATCCCCAGGCGCTTTCTCTGACAAATTTCACTAAAACAATTAATCGAGAATTTTTCCTCGGCTTCTCTCTCTCTCTCTCTCTCTCTCTCTCTCTCCTCTCTCTCTCTCTCTCTCTCTCTCTCTCTCTCTCTCTCTCTCTCTCTCTCTCTCTCTCTCCCTCTCTCTCTCTCTCTCTCTCTCTCTCTTCTATCTCTCTCTCTCTCTCTCTCTCTGGTCCCGCTATTAACTCGGTCCCCTTTTATCTCGTTTAATTGTGTTTCTCTTTTAGCCTCCCTCCTCCTTTCTCATTTCCTATTATATTATATATATATATATAATATATATATATATATATATATATATATATATATATATATATATTATATATATATATATATATAGATATATATATATTATATATATCTATTATATATTACATAATTTATTTATATATATGTATGTGTGTGTGTGTGTGTGTGTGTGTGTGTTGTGTGTGTGTGTGTGTGTGTGTGTGTGTATGTGTATGTGTATGTGTATGTGTATGTGTATGTGTGTGTGTGTGTGTGTGTGTGTGTTGTGGTGTGTGGGTTGTGTGTGTGTGTGTATGTGTTGTGTGTTTTGCGTGTATATATACTTCAAACCGATCATATATTGCATTTCTAAACATCATGGCGTACCACGAATCTTTTATACCTGCAGGCGCTGTGTCTAGTTATCAATCAATTCAACAAGTACA